CACGCGTTTTCTACAGACTTCAGTGTAGTTATAAATGTGCAACTACGTTGGAGAAACCGGCCCGCAACTACAAACGCGAATGCATGAGCATCACCTGACGGTAAGAAGGCTGGACCCAAAGTCGGAGGTAGCAACCCATGCTGCAGAGATGCGGCACCCCTTCAACTCTGACGCTATCAAAATTGTGGGCAGAAGTGACAATCACAATTCAGGGCAGATTAAAGAAGCCCGGATGTCGACCGACTGTTCGGTAAACTGCCAAACACTTTTGTCCCAGCGTTCGAGTCGTCTTACTCTCAATTACTTCCTGGGACTCGCATGTTTGCTTCTATTGGAAGGATAGCATGTTAAGCTGCTTTGCCTTCATTGTGCATCTGATTTTCGGATAAAATGTATTCATAAAATTAAGGAGGTCCTCGTCGTTTTCATTAGAATCAATAATCTTCAATATAGCGTCCACATATATTCTATATAATTTTGTCTCATTAAATCTTGATGACGCCTTTTCTTCTAGGTGACCTATAAAAACCTCAGCGATTGTGGGACTTAGTGGACTGCGCGTTGCGACTCCCCATTCTTATACGTTAATTTGATGCACCATTATTTATCTGATCGTTATTTAAATTGAACTATGATCCTTGCTGATATGCCATGTCATTTTCTGAAAGTTCAAACTGTTGCATGCTCTCTTCATTATCATCGTCATTTAACGACAAGATGCAGTTGACGTCAATAAGTCTTGCTGTGTTCACCTCTTTACCCTTGTACCGGGGATTAAATGCTTACCATTATTTAAACTACCCGACGTCGTAGTAGAACGGAGGGACAAGGAAAAGGTAGAAAGGCAAATAAAGGAAGTCATTTTTAGTCTTAAGTTACCTCCATTGTAAAGGAATAATCGGATTATTATTAAGTGCACATGATTTTTCATGCTTACTGATGCAGTAGATACGTGCTTGGCTTCCTTCACATAAGATATATCATCGGCATGGAGAATAAACTTTGCATTGCTTCCAAAAACCTTCTTCTCTTGTCGCAGATGCCTAAACACAGAATGTAGATAAACTTTTTGGCATGTGTTTACAACTTCGAATAGAAATTTGACGCCAAAATGAGCGATCACATTCTTTCATTGGTAGAATCCTTCTGGTTTATTTATCTGTATTATAAAGGCTTCAAGAAAAAGCCTATCAGCTAGGAATATGCGTTAATTTGCAGGGGCTTTTTTAAATTTAGTCAAGATTGCAGCCGCTTTCAACGTTTCTGTTTGTAGGTGGAGTACTTTAAAAGTCAAATTACCAATAAACAGCCTGAAATTTCTTCTGAACAGTGAGATGAGCTCTTTTCGGATAGCTGGAAATTATTTTGGCTTATATTGAGGCTTGCCTTATAAGTTTGCCCAATGTTATAAATGCCAAATTAGTACCTGTGCGATCTACGCTGCTGCAGTTGTATGCTTGGACGCGACCGTGAGCAGCTATAAAAATTTTCGCGGCAGGGGATAGCAGTGAGTGAATTTCTCGTTGATTATCATTCACAGTTCAACAGAACAACTTTCTGTACAGCACGCTGCATGTACCGTCTGGTTATTTTACTTCCCCTATTGGGAAATACGCTAGTTCTACGTATTTACGTACGTGGGTTAATATTGTAGCCACTCTTGGTACACATGGAGCAGTAATAGTAGTAGACCATCAATTTTCACATGGTCACAACAGAGGTGTGCAATGGCGACCACTCTCACGTTTGGTATCAAGAAAATAACCATTGCAATTAAGGATTCAGATGCGAGCTAACTAACACAAACATGCTACTACACACGCCCCAGGTTTTCACGTGTTACGCTCATAAAATTAAATTGCAGGGCCCAGATTGCAGCTAAGCCCGCATGCGATCACCACGCGGCTATGGCTCGGCTCTGGCCGGCCCAAGGACGAAACACCCCCGCACTTTCCCCTCGGTCAGTGTCAAACTACAATATTTTTTTCTTGTTTTCGCTTATTTGACTTTATATTCCTGCAATAGTCTGACGTTTCAGTTTACTAAAATTGCTATTTCGATAGTAGTAAGTTCTTTTTTCGAATTAATTTTGCTAAAAGGTCCGTTATTACAAGGGGGAAAAGGATCACTGTCAGCTTCTGTGGAATAAATTAAGAAATTTTCCAAGTCTGCCCTCTTTGAGCTTTTATCTGGCCTATTGTTCCCTAACTTCCTTTGGCCAATTACTTGACGTTTGCCTGGAGACTGAAGGCCATTCATGTTACTTTATACATACGAAATGTGTTCTTGTCCCGCCTAGATACATGCTCAATTTCATGCTCAAGGACATCGCCTAAACTGTACACCTTTGAGGCTATACCAAAATCAGAAAAATAGATTAAGAAACTCAAAAATGCTTGCTTGGAACCTACCTGACGTAAAAAATCCTGAAGACATTGGCCAAAACGAGAATTACTATCCGTTCCAAAGTAATGAGAATAATTTCGTGAACGCTGTTGGCTAAATTACATGCAAAGAGAGAGAGTGTGTGCATATAAGTAAGCATTAAGGTAACCCACTCGCCCAGGAGAGCATGATTGCCAACCTACCTATTTCACACTCGTAAATTAGGCAGGGGTTGCGATTAGGGCCGTTGCTGTCCCCAGGCCAAACTTTGTCGGCCACACGCTGGACCGCAATCAGTGGCCAACGAATCACATTGGTCAGGAAGAAAATCTCATCGAAAGTCGTCTCGGAGAAATTTTGACGGCCGCGTGCGACCTCCGGGTTGAGGGAGAAGATGAATATGCCATAAAGGCCGCGGATCTTATTGGTACCGTAGTTCTCAAAGTGGAAGGTGACCTCCGGGGTGATATGTACGTAGATATCAGGATTATACATTGGTGCGAAGAGTCCTTTGTTGGGTCCAGTTTACCAAAGCCTGCCATGATGTTAAGCTGTGTGAGACGCATTGATAGTCCAGCTTCAGCCGCCGCAGCCAGGTTTATTTTCTGGTTAGAGGAAAGGAGCAGAGGGAATAAACTGTGCGTCTAGTCGTCATCTGGTGAA